TCGGGACGCAGAGGCAGGTGGATCTCTTGAGTTTGAGGTCAGCCTGGTCTACATAGTGAGTTCCAGGACAGGCTCCAAGGCTACACAGAGAAACCCTGTCTTGAAAAACAAAACAAAAAACCCGAAAACAACAACAACAAAATCATTTCACCAGGCTAGGATGCTCCTGTAAGTTGAGGTTGTCCTTTGGCACATTAGTGGTTCCTTGCTAGTTCCAGGCAGCCAGTGGGCTCTTCTTGCATTGGTGACACTATACGGTGTTGCATGTTTTGGGGTACACATGAGATGAGGTTCAGGGCTGGTTTTTGATTCAGCACCTATAGAACTTTGACTTGGGAAGCTGCTGTCATAGGGTCTAGGGAGCCTTGCACCCTGACTAGGAACAACAGGGTTTTTTTTTTGTTAAGTGGTAGAAGAGAGAAAGGGCCCTGTACTGGGCTCTGTCTGAGGCTCTGTTGCCCGCCTGAATGCTTAACTACATTTAAGTCTAACGTCTAAAAGACACATGGTCAAAAGTGACCAGCTCTTAGATGGGTGTTTGTGTGGCTCTCCCCTCATTGACTCTTCCCCATGAACTGATTTTCAAAAGGAGGAGCAACTTCAGAGCTAACTTCTTATAACATTTAATGTTTTTTTTTGGGGGGGGGCTGGGATAGACCGAGGCCACAGGGGGAAAAACTGAGGGTGTATCATCAGGAAACATGGGTCTTCAACAGCTGGGCCATGGGGGATGGACTACAAGCTCAGTAGAAATGTTTTCTCTTTCTCTTTTTTCTTGATGTCTCAGAACATTCTAGAAACACATTGCTTCCTTACACCCGGACTTGCTGCTGTTCCTTCCTCTTTACTTCTGTCCAGATGTCTGACAAGTCTTGTATAAACTGCTGGATCTAGCAAGACAAGGAGACAGCATTAACCTTGCCCAGCAAACACTCCCCATGTCCCAAGTTGGACCATCTCCTGGGAAGGAAGTTCATTGATCTCATTCTCCACTGCCAGAGGTGGCAGCATTGTCACAGATTTCTAGATGACCTTAAGAATCAGGCTTAGCAAACATATTCTCTCACTACACTCAAAATACGTGACGGAAACAACTTAAAGGCGTGTTATACTTTCCAAAGCTCGCACTCCACCGTCAGAGGCATGGCTGAATGGGTCAGTCCCTGGCGGGAGGAGCATGTGACAGTGGCTGTTCACAAGGAGAGGACCAGGGAAGCAGAGAGCGTGACTGGAGCAGGTGGATTAGCTGTCACCTTCAAAGGCCTGCACCCAGTAACCTACTTCTGCCAGGCAGGCTCTGCTGGCAAAGGTCTCACCCTCCCAAACTAGTGCCGCAAGCACTTAGGATACAAGCCTGGGGGTGGGGCATTTCAGGTTCAAACCATAGCAGCAGGCTACAACCGGAGGAAGGCTGGACTTGGGACCTGCTTAGAGGTACAGACCCACGTGGAAGGAAGGAGGAAGATGGTCACAAACCGGCCTCAGGGGAAACATTTTGCAGGTGGGACTGGAAATGGCTCTCAGGCAATGTCATAGTGCTCGAGGGGACCCGGACCTGATGTTCACCGTGCTGATCTTGTGTCCGCCAGGGAAATTTAAATTCTACTCACAGGCTTCTGTTTTGAAAGCCCCTGGTCAGGGTGACACGGCATAGATTCAGAGGCTAGGAAGACCCAGCTGGACTCCACACACAACAGCTCTGAAGAAATATCCGATTCCGGGGATGGAAGCCAGGGCCTCACCCATGCTGGGCACGTGTTGTAGCACTTAGCTGAGCGCCCGGCTCAGCTTCTCATTTTTGAAAGGTGACCCCAGCTCAAGGGCAGAATGTGTTCAACCTCTCCTTTCACTTACACTTTCTCGAGCCATCACCACCATCATCGTCATTAAAATCATCTTCTTAGCTACTTGGCCAATTGGCTTTCTAACAATGCGCTTATATTCTGTGGGAATGAAGATGGATATCTTCGGATATCCTTCGGGCAACGTGAGGTGTTCCTGGCAAGGAAAATCAAGCCCAGATTTTCCTTGCCAGGAGCACTTCTGGAAGTTTGGTTCAGAAAAATATAACTTGTGAAAATCCTCAAGGATTCAGAATGCTTAGAATTTGGAGGAGGTGGGTTAGAAGCTCGGGCCTAAGCAGGGAGTGCATGGGCTGGGGCAGAGAGTGACAGGTCACCAATTCCCGGGGGCATCCTTCCCCAGGAAGGCTAAAGGAACGGAGCTGACCACACCAGGGAGTCTCAGAAACCAGGCTGCCACAATGCCAAGATGGCATTTATGTCTCTGTTTTCGTATTCCCTCACAAGTACAAGTTGCCATTTACCATGGCAGAGTGTTCTGGCTGTCCTGTCAGAACAGAGTGAGCGACAGGAGCAAACGGCACGGTCTGCCTATAACTGAGCTAGACATCAAAGGGATTTGCCAGTGTCCAACAATGCTACTCTCCTCACGAAAGGAGTCATTTGAAATTTTAATCAACCATGTGATTTCAAAGACTGGGGAGATGGCTCAGTTGGTGAAGGGCTTGGTATGCAAGCATGGAGATCCAAGTTCAGAGCCCCAGTCAGAGGTTTCCCTGGAAACCTAAGAGAATGAAAACCATTTCTGAACATAGAATGAAGGGTGAAAGCAGCCAGCTTCCCAGGAAGGTGCCCAGCCTTGCACAAGTGGAGAAGGTAGCAGCCAGGCTCAACCGCACACAGCCTCCCTTGCACAACAGGGCATCCCCAACAAGGACAACTCGGGCTCACCCGAGACCCTCCTGGAGCTGTTAGCATGTGTGGTCAACAAGACTGTTGTGGATAACTGGTGAGTTCAACAGTGGGTCCCTACTCTGGTCCTGTGCTTTGAAGTCAACAGGGATTTCGGGTGCTAATGCAGTGGTCTCAGCGTGTGGAACCCTGATGGGCAGTACAGCTTGGGGAATTCCTAGATATGCACATTCATGAGGGCTCATCTTAGATTTACTGAGTTGGAGATTTGGGTGTGCCCAGCAATCCCCCAGTCCCACCAGCAGGTGGTCTTGACCCTGTGAACATTCGAGAATCACAACTCTGCCTGATTCTTTCCTTCACTCAAGCAATTCAGAACCTCCTTGGCCCCGCCCCTCTACTGGACCCAGCTCTGCATCCTCCTCCTACCATGTCCAGTTGTTTATGTGTGTCCTCCAGGGACACCTGCGTGGTCTCCTTCAACTGCTTGCTCACTATCTGGAAGAGGTTCAGTGTCGCCATCTTAATGGTGCCAAGCAGGAGGGTCTTCTTGGCCGCTGTGTTCTGGATGTGTGCCCAGCGAGATTCCTGGGGAGAGATGTGGCAGCCTGTAAGTAAAGCACAGTAGAGAGAGACTCCTCTGCATGTGTGCGTGCTCGTGTTTGTGTGTGTGCACACGTGTGCGTATGTGTGTGTGGTAACTGTATGCATGTATGCACACATACAGACCTCACGTACCCAGAGCCAGGACTCCCTCCCCCTACCCTACACTGGACCTGCTGCTTACCCAGAAGATGACGTCACTGCGGGCCCGGTCGAAGCGCATCTGCAGTCTTGCCAGCTCATTGTTGTGCTGGAGGATCTCATCGTCCTTCTCCTCCATGTAGCGGGCCAGCCTTGCCTTGGCGCGTTCAATCTTCTCCTGCCCTTCTTGTGCCGACTGCATGAGGTCATGATGCATGCTCACCAGCGTCTTGTAACGGGCAATCACCTCGTGGATCTCTTCAAACTGAGGGGCCAATGGCCTTGGGTCACTGAATAACTGGTTCCCAAGGGCCTGACGCAGCTACATCAGCCCACCACATCTGACCCATACACCAGGGCAGGCAAACCATAGCCATAAACGGGGATCGTGAGAATGTTGGGTTCTCCTGAGTTTATATGGGCTATGCACCGTACGTTGGAGGGTTGCTCAATGGGACCTGAGGTTCCTAATGCCAGCTGCATATTTAAATACTTAGGAACCCTTTAAAAAGGTGGATGCCAAGTTCCAACCCCAGAGATTCTGATAAACAGTATGTCTTTGGTAGATTTGAATTTTCCAAACTATCTCTAGGTAATTCCAGGCCCAACTAGGCTTGAGAATTGCTGCTGGGAAGTACTTTATCTCCTAAGGCAACAATGATCCTATTCAAGGAGAATGTTCCACTCACAGACCAGGAGCTGCGCTAAAAGGCTACTGACAGAGCCGGAGATAAGAAAGCCAGACCCTGTTCTTTTGAACTTTATAGCCTCAAGGGTGATTGGGTACAGGGAGGACAGACAGACACTAGTCAACTACAACACAGTGATAAACTGACTTTGGGGCAGAGGTGTGAGGCTGCCCAGAGGCCGGGCACTAGCTCCCTACAGACTGCTCTTTAGCCTTTGTTCATCATCTGCATCGGTGGGTCAGGGGGTTTGCAAGATGCACATCACCTGCTCCAACGGGGTCCAGAAGCACAGAGCTTGTCCAGCAAGCATCTCTACAGAGGGCTCAATGACAGCAACGCGCCTCCCGGGAGGCTCTCATAGTGTGCCTGCTCAGGGACTCTCTGAGCTGGTCTCAGTCTCGTGACAGTTGTTGGTGGCAGATTGGTGTCCAAGAACTGTCAGACTGGTGTTTTTTTCCCAAATGTGCTTCTGGGGGAAGAGCACTCCAGGCAGTGCTGGAGGAAGCAGGAACAGCCAGAAAAGTATTCAGGGGAAAGAGGAAGGAGACTGGGGTACATGTAGAGGTAGCCAGGCAAAGGCAGGTGGGGATGCAAGGTGTGCACCAGGGAGAGAGGGAAGCCTGAGTAGAGATGAGTGGAGGCTTAGGGAGGTTCAGAATACTCGCAGAAATTTAACATGGATGGCCTGAGGTTCAGAGATGGCCTGGGAGAGAGAGGGAGGAGGAGGGAGGTAGAGAGAGAGGAGGAGGGAGGTAGAGGGGGAGGAGGAGGGAAGGAGAGAGGTAGGGGAGCCTGCCCAACAGCTTCTTAGAAGGCTGAGACTAGAGGATTGCAAGTTCAAGGCCTGCCTGGGCTATATAGTGAATCTGAGGCCAGTATGGACAACTTAGTGAAACCCTGTGTCAAACTAAAACAAGGGCTGGGGGTGTAGCTCAGGGTAGAGTTGCTTACCTGCACATACAAGGCCCAGGGTTCAACTGCTAGTAACACATGTGATTACATGTATGTGCCCATACACACAGAGAGAGACAGACTGCTGTGGAATATTCTTGTACACTGCGTAAATTATGCTCTGATTGGTTTAATAAAGAAGCTGACTGACCAATATCCAGGCAGGATAAGGTTAGGTGGAAAAAATAAACTAAGGAAAAGAAGAAGGGCAGAGCCAAGGAGATGTAAGCCAGCCTTTGGGAAAGAAAAATGCTAGAGGACAATAACATGAGCCATGTGGTAATACATAGATTAATAAAAATGGGATAATTTAAACATAAGAGCTAGTTAATAATAAACCTGAGCAATTGGCCAAGCATTTATAATTAATAAAAGCCTAAGAGTGGTTAATTTGGGAACTGGTGGCTGGGAGAGAGATATCCGCTTACAACAGAGCACTCAGAAAACTACGAAAAGAGTATGAAATTTATCCATGAAGAATTTTAGTTTTAAGAAGCAGAGAACCCATGCCCTGTTTGTATTTCCTTCATATCCTTCAGCAAGCACCACAAGCACTAACAACGAAAGTTAGAATGAATAGATTCAATCAGAGCTACTGAGAAGAAATCTCACAATTGTATTCTGATGTCAAAAGCCTCAGGTGCCTGCGTGAAGAGGCTCCTGCTTGTACAAGGAGGGGATAATTTCAACATCAATAAGAATAAATACAAAAGAGTGGAACATGAATTAAAAACCATGAGTTCATAACTACACTGAAGGGTCAGTTTTAGAGACTGCTGACATTTTAATTTGTTATTCTGAACAATAAAAAGAATCAAGAGTTCAGTGTGGGCATAGCAGCCCCAACACTTGGTAGACAGGAGAGAGAGAGAGAGAGAGAGAGAGAGAGAGAGAGAGAGAGAGAGAGAGAGACAGATCTTGAAGCCTGGAGTAAGACAGTGAGGCACTGACTCAAAAAGAAGACTTCAACAAGCTTCTTCCTAAGACCCACTAGTAATCAAGGAGCCAAAGACATTACAAAATTCCCATCTTTATGTCAGTGGTTCATGGCCCCTTGATAGTAGAATGACCATTTCACAGGGGTCACATATCAGATATCTTGCATATCAGATATTTATATTATAATTGATAACAGTAGCAAAACTACAACTATGAAGTAGCAACAAAATAATTTTATGGCTGGGGGTCACCAGAGCATGAGGAACTGTATTAAGGGTCACAGAGTTAGGAAGATCGAGAACCACTGCTTTATATACTGTTCTAACTACTAAATTTTAAAATAGTTTTATACACCCCCAGTCAGTATCTGTCCACAACCACCAAGGAAATCAATATTATAGTTTTTTATCAGAAATGAATAATTTTACCTGGTTTCAAGCCTATCACTAGAACTATAGATTGGTTGTCTTTTGAATCTGGTCTTATTTTGCTTAACATAATGTCCATAATACTTAGGAAATATAAGAAGTGGTGTGGAAAAACTAGTTTGGACCTTGGTTAAACAGATCAAGTGCAGCAGGACAATTCTAGATATGACAAAGTTGACGGGAAAGCCCATGAGGTCTTAGCCCCACATGAAGAACTACAGGCAACTAAAGAAATAGTCCTCCCCAGGGAAGAGCACACCAATTGATGATCCAATGCCAAATGGCCAGCTCTGAAAACATACATACAAGTAGCATTATATATACTGATATATATGTGTATATATACACATATGTAATAATAAGTAATGAAATAGGTCATGAATTTAACAGTGAGTGGTGTGGGAAGTCCTTCTGTCTATGTGTTGCTTTTTATTGGTTAATGAATAAAGAAACTTCTTTGGACCTATAGCAGGGCAAAACTTAGGTAGGCAAGGAAAGCTAGACTGAATGCTGGGAGAAAGAAGGGTGGAGTCAGAGAGATGCCATGGAGCCACCAGAGTCAGACACGACAAAACTTTGTTGGTAAGCCACTGACATGTGGAGGATACACAGATTAATGGAGATGGGTTAAATTAATATGTAAGAGTTAGCCAGTAAGAAGCTAGAGCTAATGGGCCAAGCAGTGTTTTAATTAATACAGTTTCTGTGTGATTATTTCAGGGCTAAGCAGCCAGAAACTAACTAGCAGCCTCCTCCTACATGCAAGCAAGGAGGGAATATGGGAGAGTTGGGAAGAAGGAAATGGAAAAGGGAGACAATGCAATTACATTATAATCTCAAAAATAAATTAAAAAAACAAAACAAATGCACATAGAGCCTTATTGTGACAACTGGGGACACTTTAAATGTCAGCTAGTTATAAATTTGCTACTAAGGAATAGCGGAACTGGTTTGACAATAGCACTGTAGTTATGATTTTCTGATGTATTTTTAAATTTTTATTTTCACTTTATGTGTGTTAGTGTTTTACCTGCATGTATGCTGTTTGCATACCACATGCATGTAGTGTTCCAGGAGGCCAAAAGAGAGTTGAAGACTCCCTGGTTACAGACAGTTGTGAGCCACCAAATGGGTGCCGGGAATCTGACCCAGGTCCTCTGGAAGAGCAGCCAGTGTTTTTAACTGCTGAACCACCATCTCTTCAGCCCCTGTTCTGAGACAATCTCACTGTGTAGCCTTGGCTGTCCCGGAGTTTGTTATGTAGACCAGGTTAGACTCAAACTCCCAGAGATCCGCCTGCCTCTGCCTCCCTAATGCTGAGATTAAAGGAATGTCCCCACAACACCTGGCTTTTAAGTGGATTATGTTTTTTTAAAGCTCCCATCTTTAGAGGAATATGCTGAAATATTTAAGACTGAAGAAATAGCATTTGCTGCAAATTGGTGGAGTGGGAAAATGTGGGTCACACAAGCAGCCTTTGCTGGACCTAGGTGATGAGTGATGGGTGTTCTCTAGAATATATGGCTCTACTCTTGTCTGTTTGAAATTTTCCACTAGCAAAAAGTTCCTGAAAGTATCACTGACTGGTTATGGGCAGTTGGAAGAAATAAAAGACTTTTTAATATTCTATGGAGCATGGTAGGATAACTGTGATAGACAAAAATGAATTGTACATTTCAAAATAGTACAGAGGATCTGAATATCCCCAACAAAGGGGAAATCATAGATGTTTGAGGTGGTGGGTATGTCAGTCATCACAGTACTATGAAGTACACACACATGCACGAGCACAAGCAGGCACGCACACACACATATGCACATCTCAGTATGTCCCATCAATGTGTACAATTATCATGTGTCAATTAAAATACTATTTTAAGAAATCACGTCGCTGTACAGATAACTCAGCCGTTAAAAGCATTAGCTGCTCTTACAGAGACCTGGCTTCGATTCCCAGCACCCACATGGTAACTCACAACAACCCTAACTCCAGTTCCAGTGGTCCAGTGTCCTCTCCTGACCTCAGAGGGCACCAGGAATGCATGTGGTGCACAAACATACGTGTAGGCCAAAACATTTATAGTACAAAATAAATAAAAATGAATCCCAAAACGAAGATTTTAAAAATGAAAAAAAAATCATTGATTGAGAAAAAGCCAGTCTGGACAGTGTGGTGCGCACCTTTAATCCCAGCACTTGGGAGGCAGAGGCAGGTGGATCTCAGTGAGTTCGAGACCAGCCTGGTCTACAGAGTGAGCTCCAGTTACAGCCTGGGCTACACAGAGAAACCCTGTCTCGAAAGCCAAGTCATAGGTTATGTTATACAATGCATAGTTTAAGGACAGCTGATAGTCACAAGTATAAACATTCATGAAAATGAGAAATATAAAAACTATAATACTGGTGACCCCTGAAGAGAGGAGAGAAAAATTGAATTTGGAAGGGCATATAAGATGTTTAAATTGCCAGTAGTGTTTTATTTCAGAAAAAAAAAAAGAAATGAGGGGGGAAATTAAGATTATACAAAGCTACCGGTATGTTGAGTTTTTGAAAGGTTAAGTTTTTTTCTCTTTTCCAGTGTGGGGGTGGAGAGAGAAGGGGAAGGAAGAGGAGGAGGAGGAGGAGGAGGAGGAGGAGGAGGAGGAGGATGCTGTAGAATGCAGAGGAGCAAAGGGCAGAGGTGACACCAGATGAAGCGCGCAGCATGAGGAACGAGGAAGGGGCAGGGGTTGGATTCCAGAAATACTTTGGAGGCAGAGTAGGCCATATCTGATTGATGGCTACCGGACCAGGGATGGGGTAAGCAGGAAATGCAGTCCTGGCAGTACTGTGGCAAGTCTGAGCCAGAGTCGGTCTTGCTAAAGGAGGAACCTTGGGAAGAGGAGGCCCCAGAGGAGCCTGGGAGGGAGGCGGCAGAACAGAAGACAGGAGGAGATGTCAGGGAAGGGATGTCCACACCCAATGTTGTAAGAGGTGATGCTGGAAGAGGGATGAAAAGTTCCTCACCTGGGGTGACAGGGTCTGCAGAGGTGGGGGTGGGGCATTTATGACCCCAACTTGGAGCGGGGACACAGCAGAGTGGGGGAAATAATAAGCTATCCATTTCCAAGCTATGAGGCCCTGAGTAGGTCCCTTAACCTTCCCGAGCCTCCATCCCCCCAGAAAGAGACAGTCTGCTTGCTCTTATCAGAGGCTGACAAGAGGACAGAAAGGTACAAACTCGCAGTCAGCCTGCATGACACCCTAAGCGCTCCAGGTCTTTCTTTGAAGGATAGGTAGGTGTTTTTCCACTTTTTCTCTCCTCTCCTCTGTCTGCCTGCCTGCCTGCCTGTCTGTCTCTGTGTCTATCTCTCTGTCTCTCACATACACACTGACTCAGACATACACCAACACTCAATTCATTGTACAGCCATGCACAGATAATACCGTCAGGCCCTCCCACCCACTCATCAGAGGCCTTGGTCATCTGACCCCCAGGGTTGCCGCCTCTCCCCAGAGCAGGACAAACATTCCAAAGGCCCCTAAACTCTAGCCAGCTGGAGCTGAGCTCCATTCCGTTAACTTGGGGGAAGAAGAGGGTGCTGAGGAAGGCCCTGTGGTACGGACGGCACTGCCAGCCCTGGGACCCACCTCCGAGTTCTCTACCACCTTCTCCAGGTACTTGTTGAAGATGGCGTAGTCCTGCAGCTTGACACTCAGCCTCTGGTGCTCCAGCTTCAGGGCGGCCATCTCCTGCTTGGCCTTGGCCAGCTCCCTCAGGCGCTGCCTTTTCAGTTCCCGCTCTTTGTTGGCTTTTTTCAGGGCTCGAATCCGTTTCTGGTCATTCTCCTGGGATAAGCAAAGCAGTGTAAATCAAGCAAGCATCTCACCCTCTCTCTCTGAGACCTGGCCTACCTGGGGCCAGTGACACCCTAAGCCCCTTCCATCTGCTGAGCTCAGACCACCAGAAGGGTAGGCAGAGCTTGCTGGGCTACCTATGTTGGAGGGGAGGTGTGAAGAAAAAGGATTTGGTGAGGCTCTGGTTGTGTGAAAGGATTTAGTAAAGCTAAGGGGCTTCTGTGGCCTAGGGAGGCTGTGAGTACAGAAATTCACTCAAGGTCAAGAGGCAGTCTGGGGGAGGGGGGTGCAAGCAGGAAGCTAGGACATTACAAACAGCATGGTGTATAGAAGATGCCTTGGAAAGGGCCCAGACGCTGCTGGAACACAGAAGAGGCCTTTAACCTGGGGCCTACAGAATCAAGTACCGGGGAGGAACAGTTTGCCCTGCGACGAGTGTAACTCCTCCAGCCTGCTGCAGCCCACACTGCTCCATACCTGGATGAATTGCTCAAACTTCTGGATATGGGCTTTCAACTGCTCCTCTTTGATGCCTAGTTCCTCCCAGCGTAGGTTCAGCGTTTCCATTCTTCGCTGGAATGTCTTTAGGGGACGAGAGAAGGTAGATGTCAGGGAGCCCTCTGCCACGGGTGCTCAGAAAGATTCTGAGTGTTTTATCCCGGAAGTGAGTGTCTGGAAAGGCTGAGGAAGTTGCTCACCTGCTTCTTGTGTTCCATGGCCTGGTGCATGATCTTGGCTTCTTTCTTCTTCTCTAGGAGCCGGATGGATGGAGAGTCCGACTGCTCCTCAACATTTGGAAACTTCCTGCCCAAGAAGTGTGAGACAGGGGCCTTCTGAGGCTGCAGCAGGCTGGGCAAGGGGGCAACTCGGGGAGACAGAAGCCCATGGAAAGGAAAAAGGGTCTCTGCTCTCAGTTTTTGGAGCGAGCGAGGGATGGGTACCCAGTCAGGGCTGAGCTGGAAAATGGGGTTAGGCGATTGGGAACATTAGGCTGTGGGCAGTGGGGGGCCAATTGTTGGGTATGGGTGGTCCCAAGTACTCACTGCAGCAATTGAAGCAGCCGCTCTCCATACTGCAGCCGGAAGTATTCCGCCAGGTCCTCTTCTTCCATGATGCCTAAACTCATGGTGGCAGCTACCTAACAGCCTAGCTGGCCTTCTTCTCAGAGCGAATCGATGAGTGGCGGAGCCAACAGGGCACTCAGGAGTGGTGGCTGGGTTCTTGCCCACCTCTCTTCCTGCTTTCAAAGTCCCACAGAGAGTGGATATCTGAGAAGCCAGTCAGAGGCTGCCTTAGTATGATGCGCGCTTGCGGTGATAGATCTGGTTACCTAGCAACAAACCGCTGGGTTCTGCGGACTGTATCTGGAACTCACGGTTTGCCCTCCGACCTTTGTCCCCACTAACCCCACTCTCTTGCTGAGGTTACTTCTCTGTTCCCGCTGGCACCCTTCAGGAACTCTGAGAAGAAGTTAGGCCTGATTATATTTCTGGTTGCTCCCTTGTCAGGCAGGGAGGCAGGGTTTGGCCATCCACAGCGGAGAAGGGAAGTTTGTTTGGAGAACCCGTGTGTGAAGTTGGCTCCTGCGACTTCCTTCCTACGTTTAGGGATATGTGAGGGTGAAGGAGAGACTGGGCGGCAGATGGGTGGCAAAGAAGAAAAGCGGTAGAGAAGACGAGGTACTTAGCCAACCCCAGAGGGGGAGAGTGGGAGATGGGCAGAGAAGAGTGGAAAGAAAGTTGAGACACATTAGAACCAAGTAGGGGATACAGAGAGTGCCCCCCCCCCCGGGAACGCGGAAAAGGGCCTGGCAAGGCCCTTTAACGCGAGAGTGAGTTTATTAAGTACAGACAAAATGCACTTTAGAGATTTAAGTGCGGGCCGGCGGGTGGGGAGAGGGCGCCATAATACAGTAACAGAAAGGTTCTCTTGTTTAATCGGTTTATTTCATGATGGTTGCCTTCCTCCATTCCATGGGGCACATGCATGTAAATACTTAGCTGGCCTGAGGTTAAATCTGTGTAAGTTTGGGGGCCCTATGTGAGACAGCACCGTGGGGACCTCTGCAGAGACCTCTCCTTACACTAGACCCTGGTGCTCACCACTCCCTGCTCCTCCTCTCAGCCTGCCAATTCCGTTGTCAAGGACAGAGCTGTGAGCCCTGTGGTGGGTCAGCTGCCAGCTATTCTCTAAGTCCCTGTCTTGAGGAATAGTGGTTGGGTATACTGCCCACTCCTGTCCTATCCGGTTCCACCCTCTGTTGTTCCTCAAGGCAACAGAAAAAAACCCACCCATTCAGACTCACCCACCCATCCCTCCTAATCACTCCCACCCCACCCCCCAAATCCCTCTTTTTTTTTTTTTGGTTTTTCAAGACAGGGTTTCTCTGTGGCTTTGGAGCCTGTCCTGGAACTAGCTCTGTAGACCAGGCTGGTCCCGAACTCACAGAGATCCGCCTGCCTCTGCCTCCCGAGTGCTGGGATTAAAGGAGTACGGCACCATCGCCCGGCCTTCCCCTCCCTAAATCCCTAATCCCAAATCTCAGATAGACCCAGCAGGATGACAGACAAATAAAAGTTTCTAAATTTCACAAAGGGGTGTGTGTGTGTCTCTTCTTTATCCAGACTGTCAGACAGTCCATTAGGGATTTATCTCTTTCCTCCCCTTTTCTCCCCAGGTGGTGGCTTGGTTTGGGGGGGGGGGCTTGAGGAAGTTGGGTGCTTCTGGAATCATCTGTTACTCTGGAAGGTAAGGCACGCGTACTTGTCTGTCAAATCAGGCGGGCCGGGGTCAGGTTGGTCACTACAAGAACTGAGATGTGCTCTCTTTCCCATGCAGCCCCTGGTCTCAAGGCTTTTGTGCTGTTTCACATGGTGCCCTGCATGAGTCAATCTTGAATCCAGGCCCGGACCACGATCCTGGAAGGCAGCAAGTAGTTACGGCCTTCCCAGGCATTAGAGAGCAAGGCTTGTACCCTGAGCTCTCCTCTGCTTCCCTGAATTATACTTTCTTTCCAAAACCTCTCTCCACCCCCATCTTTGCCCACCCACCCCCTCCCGGTCTCCCCCATATCTCCACCCACTGCCCTTTTTTGTCTTGCTATTTGTCTCTGAGGCAAAAATCTATCAAGTTTGTTTAATTATCTAATGGGCTTAGATGCTGGATGGAACCCAATAGGGATATTTTGCTTTCTGTCTTGTTCCATTATCCTCTGAAACTGTTAATCTGGGGTACCTAGCCTAGGGGTGCAGGGGTTGCCTAACACACACCAGAATCTGGATTTGACTCCCAGGACTGAATGGAAAAGGGGAGGAAGAAGAGCAGAAAATAAAAAGACATAGGTTAGCATATTGAAAGTGTTATCCTGAGATGGTGCTGGGTGCACATTCTCCCAGCTATCTTGGAGGATGCTCTTCCAGGCAGTGGCCAGGGCCCAAACCCCTTCCATCTGTGGCTCCACTGGATTCTCCTGGGTCGGCCAGATCACTACTGGAGACAGAGAATACACACAGACGTTCCTTCCGCTCTTGAGTGCATCGCTGCCTCCTCCCCTTCACTCTGACGATGGCCTACACTGCAAGAGGCCGGGCACTATGTTGCTGTGTTTCCAAGAAAAAGAAATTACTTGAAAAGCATCCAAACAGCCTGTGCTGTCCTCTTTTTGAGAACTGAAAAGGGTGTTTGGGGTAAGCAGAGCTTAAGAAAGAGCCCAATAGTAGACAAAAAAAGAAAATAGGCCAACATATCTCATATGCAAAACCTTAGCGGCAACATTAGCAAATTTAATTTAGTTCACACAGTCTCCTGCCTCTCCTGGGAGAGTTTCTTCCACACAGTGGTCAGATCTCTAAGCCCCAGCTGGAGCACTGCTCTCAAAATACATTTACTGGGACCTGCATGCAAGATCCCTGAATATTAGGAAATCTATAAATAAAATTAAGTCTATTGAAATTCTCAAGAGAATTGCTATTGTGGTAGATGTCAATGTGGCACTGAAAATGTGCACATTTATCTTTTTAAGAGATACTAGGGAATTTGCTGGGTCTGGCGGAGCACACCTTTATCCCCCGCACCGTGTAGCAGTGGCAGGAAGATGTTTGTGAGTTCCAGGTCAGCTGGTGCTACATAGAGAGACACCTCCCGTGTGTGTGTGTGTGTGTGTGTGTGTGTGTGTGTGTGTGTGCATACATATGATTCAAAAGTATTTTATTACATGTGTAAAAGAATCTGAACCCAAGAGATAACATTAGCATCATGTCAAAAATATTCTTGCTAAACTTAGGGGTGCGACAGGCTTTCTGCTGTCACTACAACCACTTAGCATTGTTTTGGGAGCTCTAGCTAGTGTGAAAAACGACAGGAAAATTAAGTTCTTCTTTTCTTCTTCTTCTTTTTTTTTTTTTACACAATGGCAGATGCTGTGATCGTGTACTGTGAAAATTCAAGAGGATGGTTAATTTCAACGATTTGAATTTAATGTGATAGCAGGAAGTTTGCAGAGGGAACGAAGCTGATTTGTATGCACGGACACGAGAAGAGCCCTGGTGACAGAGTGAAGCGACAGAATCGAGCTGCAGAACAGCATGCCTAAGAGGATGCAGTGCGTGCAAGTGTGTCGTGGGGACAGCAGGCTGCGGGAGGTTGTCACAAGAGCTCTGGAGACAGGAATGGCATGCGGTGGGGAAGTAAAAAAAAATTACTCTCCATATTGTTTGTTCTTATATATTCTCTTATATATTTTTCCCCCTAAAAACCACAAACACACACACACATGGTGTTTGAAACAGAGTTTCTCTGTGTAGCCCAGGTTGTCTTGGAACTTGGTCTGTAGACCAGGCTGGCCTTGAAGTCAGTGGTCTGCTTGCTGCTGCCTTTCAAGTGTTGGGATTAAAGGCGTGCACTGCCATGGGTAACTCTGTCATGTCCAAGGATTCTCCACACGGTTTGCCATGATGGCTGCAGCATTTTACGTTCCCACAACTGGTGACATGACAATTTTCTTTGCGTCCTTGCCAGGACTTGGAGTCTCTGCTTTTCCCCCTTTATGTCCGTCCCTCAGTTGGGCATGAGGTGACATCTCATGGCCAAACTGGGTTCCTTTTTTGTTATAATGGTAATAAATGAACCTATTCAATTATCAATTGTTTAAACAATGTAGATACAGTCAGAACTCTATCCAACACCCAGTCTTGTGTACCAGAGGTGACCATGAGTTCATCCAACACTTATGTCCAGTGCTGGAAAAGACCAACATTTGGTCTTTTTTTGTGCAAGAGTGTATAGCAGGGTTTCTTTTAGGCCACCAACCAGTTCCCAAATCATGACACAAGACTTCTTATTAGTTATGAATGCTCAGCCTCATCTTATGCTTGTCCCATGAGCTCTTATAACGTAACCTGTTTCTCTTCATCTACATTTTGCCTTGGGACTTTTTTACCTTTTTTTCTTCTTCTATATATCTTACTTTCATTGTGCCTGACCAGCTGGCAGTTGCCTGGCTGCTGGTTCCAGAAATGTCCCTCTCTTTCTGCCTCATTCTCTACCCCCTTCTTTCTACTCTTCCTGGAGTTCTCCTCCTACTTATTCTCTCTGCCCCCCCCCCAGCCCCACCTATCCCTCTTCTGCCTAGCTATTAGCCATTCGGTTTTTTTTATTAGACCAATCGGGTGCCTTAAGCAGGCAAGGTGAAGCAGCAACACATTTTTTCATAATTAAACAAATGCAACATAAACAAATGTAACACACCTTTACACAGTTCAAGTCATTTCCATAACAAGAGGGCCTGATTTAGTCCGAAGAGTCTTGGTCTCCCCTGTTCTAATCAAAAGGAAGTTTCACATAAGGAGTAGAAATTCAATCCAAGGAAATCAGAGGCACACTGAGTGAAGGCTGCCTTCTTTATATAGCAAACAGCACAGCAAATATGGTATCAAAAATGTGGGACTTCTTCTTCATCAATCTTTCACAGGAGCCTCACAGGGAAGAGATGTGTTTCCGGGCCTTATTGACTCAGAACAGCACACAAAGCCACGATCAGGTGTCATCTCTCTATGCCCACATGTTATTCAGAACATAGCTGGGGTGTGGGGCATTCTGGGTTGGGGGGATTTCCTTTCAATGCCTTCCTGATTTCAGCACATGGTTTTAGACCTGGTAACCACCTC